AGTTGTTACACTGTAGATAGTGTGGATGTAATTGCTGCTAGGTAAAAGCAGAACTTGCACACTGTAATCAGTATTGCTGTGTTCTGCTAGATACAGTTGTGTCCAAAATTATTCAACCCCCACTGAAATTGAGTGTTTTGGCCAGTTTGACATTGCTTTTGATCATTCAGTCATCTTGCTTACATTTACATTAAAGAGGCACTTGTAGGTCAGACAAATATAACATAACAGTTATAATGAAATAACCACAAATGTCTTTTCTGTGCTCACAGCATTATCAGTTTTATTCAACCCCCAAGTGACATTCAATCTTAGTACTTAGTACAGCATCCTTTTACAGTTATAACAGCTTTTAAACGTGAAGCATAGCTTGACACAAGTGTCTTGCAGCGATCTACGGGTATCTTCGCCCATTTTCATGGGCAAAGGCCTCCAGTTCAGTCACATTCTTAGGCTTGCGCACTGCAACTGCTTTCTTTAAGTCCCACCAGAGGTTCTCAATCGGATTTAAGTCTGGTGACTGCGATGGCCACTCCAAAATGTTCCAGCCTTTCCTCTGCAACCATGCTCTAGTGGACTTGGAGGTATGCTTGGGATCATTGTCCTGTTGAAAGGTCCAACGTCTCCCAAGCCTCAGGTGTGTGACGGACTGCATCACGTTTCCATCCAATATCTCCTGGTACTGAAGAGAATTCATGGTACCTTGCACACGCTGAAGCTTCCCTGTACCTGCAGAAGCAAAACAGCCCCAAAGCATGATTGACCCTCCACCATGCTTCACAGTAGGCAAGGTGTTCTTTTCATCATAGGCCTTGTTCTTCCTCCTCCAAACATAGCGTTGATCCATGGGCCCAAACAGTTCTAATTTTGTTTCATCAGTCCACAGAACACTATCCCACAACTTTTGTGGTTTGTCCACATGGCTTTTGGCATACTGCAGTCGACTCTTCTTATTCTTTGGAGACAGCAAGGGGGTACGCCTGGGAGTTCTGGCACGGAGGCCTTCATTACGCAGTGTGCGTCTTATTGTCTGGGCTGAAACTTCTGTACCCACATCTGACAAATCTTTTCTCAGTTCCTCAGCAGTCACACGGGGACTTCTCTCCACTCTACGCTTCAGGTAGCGCACAGCAGTCGAAGTCAGCATCTTCTTTCTGCCACGACCAGGTAGCGTTTCAACAGTGCCCTTTGCCTTGAATTTGCGAATGATGCTTCCTAAGGTGTCTCTTGGTATGTTTAACATCTTTGCAATCTTTCTTATAGCCATTGCCCTTCCTGTGAAGAGAAATCACCTCTTCTCTTGTCTTCCTGGACCATTCTCTTGCCTTCACCATGTTTGTAACCACACCAGTAAATGTCTAGAAGGAGCTGAGTATCACAGTCATTTTAAAGCTGCCTAATTGGTGCTTATTATGCTTGATTGCTGCTCGGTGACATCCACAGGTGTTTTCAATACCTGATGGAAAGCACCTGTATGAACCTCTGTTCTTCAGAGTGGTAGTCTTTAAGGGGTTGAATAATTGTGGCAATGAAGAAACCACATAAGAACCATTTACTACTGTATTACATAAACAATTGATGTCATTTTAGTTGCATTTGGGTAGTTACAACGTCCTTGTAGGATTTGATTCTGAATACAATTCCAAATGTACACTATAGTCCCTAAACCCCTTTACAGCATTGGGGGTTGAATAATTTTGGACACAACTGTAGGTCTGTTCTGTGTGCTCAGCTGCTGCCAGCCTGATAGCTCCCTCTGCATCCGTTTCTGGATGATAGGTGTAGAGCTATGCAGATGGCAGCATGAATACTGATACAGCCCCAGCCTATCTCAGAGAGACTGGCTTTGAAGGCATGCTGGGTAACTGTTCAGTGGTCTTTCCTATATAGGATTGTTCCAGCCTGGGAGAGGGCATGTTGCCGTCCCAGGCATCTACTGCCATAGACTTCAGGTGGGTGACCTGAGGACCTGAATGCTGAGACCCAGGTTTTACTAAAACTGACTGAGGGGCCGTCTACTGAAGATCTGGTCTGGTTTAATGAAGAAAGGTGTCCAGCTGTTTTTGGGTCTTGAGAGTACAGACACCTGTAAAGGATCTTAGAGACTGTGTGCTACTTAACCTCCTCTGGTGCTAGGTAGTTAGCTGTGGGTCTAGGCTAAAGGGACACCAGCTGGTGTTCTCAAGAGCTTTGTCCATTTAATTTCCTTCTTCGGGGGTCACTGATCAGACATGCTGCTGCCTTAAAGCTAAAGTCTACTGTTTGCTTCATACACGGACTTCATTACAGCTTATCCGAAAGAATACCTAAAGCGCTCAACTGTACATAGTTCTTAATTTTGGAGTATCCCACCTAATTCCCCATCCCTATCCAAGTTCTTCAAAAATAAAAACAACAAAAACAACACTCTTAGACTGATCATTGATGTAAAGTGTTAATGAGCCTATGTGCCTGGCTGCGAAACAAAGCGTTTTGGGGGAGACCTGGACAGTATTACTGCGGTTCCTACGAGAGAAGTGCAACACTGGGTACCAACTTACTGGCCTTGCCCAAACATGTTCGGGCTAAAGAAAACACAGAAGGGTGTACTCTCTTTGTGCATTACTGTGATAAAAATGGATTTATTAAAAAACAACAAGTGCATACTCACAAACCAAGGGTCATATAAACAGACAAGGAGCCAAACGTAGCAGTCTCAGACTGCGGGGGTCCTGTGATGTGATGAGCTAACACGTTTCGGGAGAAGAACTCCCATCCTCAGAGCTAAAGCCACTAGACCTGTAGATGGCCTATATATAGGGGGAATAATATTGAGAGAGAACTTCTGTGTTTTCTTTTGCTAGTATCAAGGTTCCCCGATCTTTAGAGGGCTGCACCTCTGTGAGTGACAGACACCATGTTCCTGTGGGGCATAAAGATCTGAGCGCTGGTTTAATTTTTTATCTTGTTGAAACATGTTCGGGCTGCCTTATTAACAGTGATTTGCCAGTTTCTTTTAGATTTTCTTCAGTCACCCTGTTTTTTGCTCCCTTCAAATGGGAAAAAAAAAAAACCATCATGGGCAGCCTGTTTCTTCTTTTTTATTGTGCACCAGCCCACTGATGATGTCTGCGCTTGATTTGCATATGCACGTTATGAAACCTCACAAGGTTTTGTTATTGAATAATAACAAACTGTGCTGGATCTTACACATGCCCCCTAGGGAACCTAATTCAGTTTATTTATATATAACAATCATATCAGTACTCCTGCGGTGTATGCACATTGTTGGGGCAGGTATGCACAATATCTGGCAAAGTTTGTTGTGTAAACCAAACTGGCCTATGTCTCCTTTTGTACATGCATGATATCAGAACATGTGTAGTATGAGATGTGGCTCAGTATGTAGTAGGAAAAAAAACAAACCTCCTATGGTGCATGCACAGGATAAGTCAAGGACTCTCTGCAGGGCACTAGGAAGGTAGCCTTCCCAGAGGTCATTTATAAGGTCCTGGCTACCCCATCAGTGCCTACTGATAACCAGGAAGTGGGGAAAAATGTACTTTTCCAAACTTTTTGAATGTATAAAACTCTTTGAATGTCCAAAACAATGTGATGCTGTTTAGGCATGTGTATGCAGAGATGCAGGCAACATAGATTATTGTGTTTTTTGGGCATTAATGCAAGCTAAAAATAATGCATTAGTTTAACCACTTCCCATGTAGATAAACAGCTGGACGGGAGCGCTGCCAAAGCGGGTGGACGTTTCTAAACATCCCCCTGCCTCCATTGCCTGTGCTTGCTCCCTGGGAGCATGCGGCACCGCGATCGGTGTCCACTGTGTCCTCTGGAACAAAGATCGCTGTACGAGACCTCTGTGTGAGGTACTGATTCATGTGATCACTGATTGGCCAATCAGTGATCACATGAATAGTAGTAAACAAGATGTCACTTCCTGACATCATTGCTTACTACTTGTGAAATCTGAGAATGATCAAAGAGGTCACATGGTACAAGGCTATTCACAACAGCCTTGTACCATGTAACGAGCTGTGACCAATCACAGCTCTCACAGTATTTCTCAGTGGCTGCAAGAATGCAGCCAGAGAGGAGAAATTACTGATTTTACAGCCTTTAACGGTGTAAAAGCAATCAGTGTAAAAAAAAAGAAAAAAAAAATCTTCATCACCCCCCACAAGTAGTAGTGTCACTATGACAGGATGACAGTATGTTTAAAAAAAAAAAAAAAAAAAAACATAAATAAATAATAATATAAAAAAAAAATAAATAAAAATATAAAAAAAATTTTGAAAAATTATAATCTAATTTGGGTTATTTTTTCTTTTACTAAAAAGATAGATGAATACATTTTGGCCAAGATTTATGAAGAGAGATTATTTATTTGCAAAATTTTATAAGAAAAACACTTTTTTCAAAATGTTTGTACTTTTTCATTTATATAGCAAAAAAATAAAAATCCCAGTGGTGAATAAATACCAACAAAATAAAGTTTTATCTGTCTCAAAAAAAATGCTGAAAAATTCATATGGGTACAGTATTGTATGACCAGGCAATTGTCATTCAAAGTGTGATAGCGCTGAAAGCTGAATCCAGCAGTGGCCTGGATTGGAAGTAGGTGAAAGTGTCTGCACTTGAAGTGGTTAACTGACAATTACGTGGTCATACAATGCTGAACATAAATGAAATTTACATCCCTTTGTTCCCACAAATGGAGTTTTCTTTCGGTGGTATTTGATCACCTCTATGTGTTTTTATTTTTTGCACTATAAACAAGAAAAGTCCAACAATTTTCAAAAAAAAAACTATATTTTTTACTTTTTGCTATAAAACATATCCAGAAAAAAATTTAAAAAAATGTTTTCTTTGCTAAAAAAAAAATCCCAACACATGTAAATGAATTGGTTTACGTGCAAGTTATAGCATCTACAAATGGCGGTATATATACTGGAGTTTTTATTTGTATTTTTTTTTATACTAGTAATAGCGTCGATCAGCGACTTATAGTGGGACTGCGACAGGCATTCTGACACTGAGTGGGAAATGACTGCCGCTGACATCCCAATGACACTAATACAGTGATCAGTGCTTATAAAAAGCACTGATACTGTACTAATTACACTGGGCAGGAAGGGGTTAATATGTGGGGTGATCAAAGGGTTAACTGTGTGCTGTTTAACATTATGTGCTGTGTGTGTTTTACTAGGGAGGCATGCTACTTTGTATTTCTCTGCTGTGCAGAGAAATACAAAGCAGCATGTCCTTGCTGGCAGGAGAGAGACCTGTGTTGTTTATACACAGGTCTCTCCTCTGTCAGCTTTCTCCGATGAACGCCGGGTGCCAGCGGGGAATCTCCAGCCTGGACCCGGTGATTGACATCCCTAGCCACCAATGGCGGAAATGCAAATCACATACAGTATATATATATGTATGTATATATATACACGTGATTTTGCACAGCCCTGCTGCCCTGTAGCAGTAGTTCTACTATAGGGCAGCGAGAAAGCGTCTACATCTAGTATGATACATTTATGCTATCCATATGCCTTCCTGTGGAGTCTGTTGCATTACCTCTCCCAGCATTAGTGGGATGTGCTGAAAGGTTGTTTCTATCCCCAGCGTAATTCTCCTTCTCACTTGGTTTTTATCAGCCACTTTTACTTGTTTTACTAAATGCCTTTAATGTGAATCAAGTGAGAATGGAGAACTCAGGGCAGGGCTGTTTTGTGCAGTCAGTAGCACTGTCCCTTAGTAAAATGTAGAAACATAGAGGTTGATTTACTAAAGGCAAATAGACTGTGCACTTTGTTAGTGCAGTTGCACTCATCTTCCCCAGAGCATAGTGAATGTGCTAAAGTTTCACTTAATCAGGTGCAAGGAAAATTAAAAACAAACCTGCATTTTTGCTCGCACATGATTGGATGATGGAAATCAGCAGAGCTTCACCACATTTACTAGGCAACAGCACTTGCAAAGTGCTCAGTCTATTTGAATTTTGTAAATCCACCCCATAGCGATATACTAATAGGAAGGTATATAAACCTCTGAGCTGTGCAACCAGCAGAGATGAAACCAGAGATGAATCTAAATCCTGGTGCTGTGTTTGCGAAGCAGCTGCAAAACGTATTGAGAAAGAAACAGTTTTCTAAAAATGCAGTCAAACAATATTTTAAAAAAACAAATCCTATGTATTCCACCTGCTCTAGTATTTTATAAAAACCACACCTCAGGATCTAAGAAAAAGCATAATTTCCAAGGCATAACTGTAAGGCATGTGCAGCCTTTCCCAGCCTGTTTGCAAAATTTTTTAGAGTGGGTAAAACCGTCCCACCAGCTATTGCATGCACTGCCCTTATCAGTTAAGAGCTCTGGCATGTTTAACCGCTTCCTGACCGCCTTATAGTAGAACTACTGCTACAGGGCGGCAAGGCTGCGCAAAATCACGTATATATATATGTTATTTTGTATATTTGGGTAGAGGGCGCGCGCCCCCCTACCCATACCGCCATTGGTGGCTTCAGCTGTCAATCACCGGGTCCCGGATGGAGATTCCCCGCCACCACCTGGCAATCACAGAGGAACACTGACAGAGGAGTGCAGATCTCTCCCCTGTGAGCACCAGCACGCTGCTTTGTATTGCTCTGCAGAGCAATACAAAGTAGTTTGTTTACACAGTAAAGCACACACAGACATAACAGTAAAACAGCACACAACACATAGTTAACCCTTTGATCGCCCCAGATGTTAACCCCTTCCTGCCCAGTGCCATTAGTACAGTGTCAGTGCTTTTTATAAGTACTAATCACTTTATTAGTGTCAGTGGGGATGTCAGTGGCAGTTTCCCCCCCAGTGTCAGAATGCCCGTCGCAGTCCCGCACTCCCGCTATAAGTCGCTGATTACCGCCATTACCAGTATTAAAAAAAATCCAGTATATATACCGCCATTTGTAGACACTATAATGTTCATGTCATCCAATTAATTTACACGTATTCGGATTTTTTCCAGCAAAGACATATAGCAGAATACATTTTGGCCTAAATTTATGACAAAATTAGATTTTTAAATTTTTTTTACTGGATATGCTTTATAGCAAAAAGTCAAAAATATTGTTGTTTTTTTTTTCAAAATTGTTGGTCTTTTTTTGTTTATAGCACAAAAAATAAAAAACACAAAGGCGATAAAATACCACCGAAAGAAAGCTCCATTTGTGGGAAAAAAGGACATAAATTTCATTTGGGCACAGCATTGCGTAACTGCACAATTGTCAGATAAAAGAACGCAGCGCCGTATCGCAAAAAATGGCCTGGTCAGGAAGGGGGGTAAATCCTCTGGAGGGCAAGTGGTTAAAGCCTGTGCAGTGCATTGTCTTTCTCTTTGTTGCTGAGCTCAGCCACTGCTGTGACAGAGAAGGAGGGAAAAGACAGGTTTTGAATGAGCTAGAGCCCTCATTTTTGTGCTAATGGGGCTGCAGGTCCAGCCTGTCCGGCCATCTGCCATTAAGGCAGGACAAGAAGAGTTGCCAACTCTAGGAATTTTGCAGACAGGCTGGGGAGAGGCTGTGAAGTGCTATAATAGTAAACTAATCCTTTAATGCATACACTGTTTTTAACTTGCCTTTTTGTAAAATTGAAAAAAAATTTTTAGTAATGCTGTAAGTGGGAAATATTTCCTTGAACACATTATGTAATATAGATGTGTAAGGGATCATATTCTGTGAATCCAGTGTTATGTAACTGCCATTTCCAATGTTTGTATGAATCGAGCTGCTGATGGATGTGTTTGAGAAAGTCTGATTTTTTTTTTGTGCTTCAGCTTTGTGACTGAAAGCAGCAGATTGAAATGTTATATGTGTTGTTGAAAGATAATGGGTGAATCACTGTCTAAGCAGATTATGAGACTTCTAGAGTCCTTCACTCAGTGAAAAGTAATGCAATGGCTTGTAGTTTGGCACACAGAGCCGGCTTTGGAGTGCAAAATCCATCTGACTTCAGCATCGGAACCAGTCAGCTTCCAACTTTTATTACCAAAGCTTAATTGAACAAGCTGAAGTTAGAAGATGATTGGTTTCTCCTGCTTCAGTAAATAAACCCCCAATGAGTAAGAGATGGGTAACAAAGGTGGTGAAAGGTACCATCTGGAGGAAAGAAGGAAAAGGGGAGACATGATTGAACCCTTCAAATACATCAAGGGGGTGAATAAGGTTCAAGAGGGCAGGAATCTCAATGTGAAACCAAGATCAAGAACACGGGGCCATGAGGAAAGTTCAAAACTAACCTTAGAAAAATATTATTTTACTGAAACGGCAGTTAATGCTTGGAATAGATATCCAACAGAGCTAGTGAGTCAATCAATATTAAGTGGTTTCAAACAAGCTTGGGACAACTTGGATCTATATATGTCAAACAGAACTTTATCACCTGTGTTCTAGTTTATCTAATCAAAAAATGGAAGAGTTAGCACATTTTATCCTGGAGGTCGATAATTTCCCAAAATTTGTAGACCAGTGTTTTCTGCCAGTGGCATGCTGATATTAAAGTAGAACAATTGCCAACACTTTTTTTTCTCATTCTGGTAACAGCAGGGAAGGGTTTTAACCAGTGTCAGATTTTTTTTTGCCATCTCTTTTCCATTTCAGTGATTTCCCTTTACTTTCTGTCCCATAGCCAAACAGGAAGTGAAAGGAAATCCCTGCAAATGAAGAGAATCAATTGGGGACCCCAGGTCACCTGAACTAGTGTCCCCATTAGAAGATTTCCCCTCTATTACTTTTCTAGGGACAACCCAAAATTGAGGACTTTCTTTATTTTCACTTTCAGTGATAATGGTAAACAGGACAAATAGGGTGAATCTCCCTAGCGTGAGACAGACAGCAATAAAATCTGACAGGAGTTCTAATCCCTCTCTACTCTATCCAGAACTAAAAAAGGTTTTGCCTTTAGTTATACTTTAAATTGTTACTAATCTCTTAGATTGTAAACTCCAAGGGGCAGGGACCACCTAACCCTCTTGTATGAACTGTATTGTTGCTGTATTGTCTCCCGCTATATTGTAAATCACTGAGCAAACTGTTGGCGCTATATAAATCCTGTATAATAATAATAATAATAATAATAAACCCACAATAGTAAAATCTGTCTGTGTATGCAGTGAAGCATGCTTGTTATACTCACTGTGGAACCTAAGGGGTTAATCCTCTACATTGTGTAAAAAGCCTGTTTGATCCTGACTTCTCTGATCCTCCCCTTATCCAGTGTCCCCCTTTTATCTCCTCATAAGACATATCGTGTGGAGACACTGTGCACATGCTCAGCGTGGTGTGTATTGCTAGAGAGGTTGTTTTTTTTTTCTTGGGAGAGTGCATGTGATCAGCACAGGGTCAATTAGCAATCAGGGTCAGGGGTTCTGCATCCTCCTAGAGCAGAAAGAAAACTCCTCCCACAAGCTTTAACCAGTGCTCAACTGGACACTGATAGAAGTCACATGACTGCTCTAGCTGCTGATGAGAAAATGTATTTAGGTGTTTATATTTACTAAAATAATTGCATTTCTATGTTCTATGTTCTGTGGGAGACCAGATATAGTGAATGCAGGCTCCTGGGTTTAGTAACACTTTAAGCTATCTTCCTAATAGTTTTAGAATTCCTGTGTCCAAGATGACAGTGCCAGGTGTGAATACAGTTCAAATGTTTTACCTTTTTGACAGTGTTAAAGTGTATCTAAACCCAAAAACAAATATGTAATATATTACAGCTTACCAATTCTTAAACATAGTAGCATTCTGTTTCTGCACACTTCCTGTCTTAGGGTGGCACCTCCACCCATGGAGCAGCAACAGAGACACGCTTGTACAGCAGCATTGACTGGAGTGGGTAGTGTTAGATGGACTATTACATTTATACAGATGTTGCATAAATGACCTAATTCCAGCTAACCCTTTTAAACCAGTTACAGTAACAGTTTTTTTTCTAATTACCACTTTTATTGGATAGCTAGCTATGTTAAAGCTAAATTCCATGTATTTTTTGCTTTGTTTTTTGTTTACGTAAGTTATATTGGTACAAGTTGGACCAAAGTAGGTATGCATATTACATACCTTACCAATACTCATAGAAGTGAAGAATTTAGCGTAAAAAAAAAATGTACATGCAATAAATAAAAATAATAAAACATGTAAATGCCTATGCGTATATAGGTTTGGCACACATATGTTAAAGGATTTTGTATCACAATTGTGAGGTATTTTTGCGAACTTCAAAGTGAGAACAATAATACTAGGGCCTTAATTCATGATTAACTCAAAAATGATAAGGCTTTTTGGATAGTTTTAGGTGCCACAGTTTTTCGCCATTTCGAATGTCGCAATTTAAATAT